ATATCCGGTCTTCAATTAAGTTTCGAAACGATAGGGCATATGCTCGCTGAGAAATACCTTCTTAAAAGTACTATTTAGAATGCAGAATCAAATAATCAGGCAGTACCCTGGAGTGCTTAAGGGGCATAGCAATCTTGGAGGAGAAAAATAGAGAGTGCCTTTATAAGTGCATTCGGAATTACTATAATCACTATTCTAAACAAACTGATTTTATTAGGATCATGACATTTTCTGAAGCATCTTGCCTAATGGGATGGTTAGCTTGTCCTTAAGAAGAAATAATCGTTTTCATTTAGAACTTTGCCCACCGGGCCTTCAACCGCTGACGGGAATACGACATGTGCGAACGTGTGATGACAGTTGTCCTCGTGGATCAACGTGTGTGCAAGGGATCTGTTGCACTCGACAGCCATCCTGTAACCATTTCACTTACAAGTAAGTACTAAATATTTGCTTATAATTATGCTTTCTTATATTGCTTTGTACCTGCTATTTACAACGTTTTTGAAAAGAGAGAGAGTTGGTGTAAACTTATTGAAATCTACACTTAACAATCACCAATAATTCGCCTTGATTTTATAGTTTATACTATGCCAGTGCTTCACCTCTCCTTTGGAGCGGTTTGCACTGTTTATGTGTTAAAGAATTAACTTTCTAGGTTTTTTACATCGTTAGCAAAAACATTTTTCATTCCAATTTAAAACCATCACATGCGCTTTACTGCGAAAGGTTTAAAGTTTGATCTCACCTTCCTGAAAGAAAAGGGAACAGAGGCTTTTTGATTTCACAGCGTCTTCCCACAGCAACACGAAATGAACAACCAACTTACCACGTCTTCACAACAAAATTGCTAATGTTTACTCATGTTCTGCAGTTAACATGATAACAGTGCATAACTGCTCTTTGACTTTCTTATGACTAATGAACTAATTTCAGAAGAGACAGAGAAACACACACACACACATACAGACAAACTTAGCGCTTAATTATAAGTAATGATATACACTGGATATAGCGCTTGAGTAAATTTCTTCGCTCGCCTGTACAAATGCACACCGCATGTACGATCCTGAAAGATTACGCCAACTGGATCGCACCGCCCAAAT